AAATAACCAGGTATTGACGATTTTAGTACTGACGGATTTTTAGTTATTTTTGTGTAAAAAGGATTTACGGAAAGAGTCTTTATATAAAATGTTTTACTATAAGTTTTACAATAAATTATATATAAATATTGCTGTTTTACAATATTTTGTAATATAAATATGATCAAATTAAGATATTAATTAAACCTCTTTTATATTATAAATTTTCTATATAAAATTTTGGTGAATAAAAATGCACATGATTCAGAAACATGCGCATGAATGTGCATTCATGTGCATGATTCAGGTTTCATGCGCACACATGATACCCATCTCTAGATATGACATATTTCCTCCTGTTGCCAATTTTTAATTTTCACTGAGAGAAGTTCACCGGGTGCTAACACATATCAAGGGTCTTAAGTAAAAAAATATTTCTTTATTAAGAAAAATTGCAAGGGTAGCTTTATTTCTTTTTTTTACATATTTATATCGCATATTACAATACAATTACTCAATTATGACTCTACTATTACTCATTTATGACTATAATTGAATGCATAACTATTACGATTACTAATGATTTAACGTTCGCTCATTTCAACGTGATTCCCATTACGTCATATTCACGTGACATACGTTTGTTTAATGAACTTCATTGTATGACACGTGCATTGTGTAACGTTCCTTACACTTATGCTGACTAAAATTGGTCCCTAATATCTAACCTTAAGCCTTGTCTAAAATTCTACCCCAATCCTAAATATTAATGATAATTAAGGAGGGGGATTTCCACAGGTTAAATTTAGTTATGTTCTTTTAATATATTAACGCAATGACTTATATTTTATATGTGCATATATGGCAGCCTATTTCTATTTTTCGATAATAAAATTAATGGATCTTTATTTCAGTGGATAACGAAAACAATAGTGAAAGTCAGACTAATTTGTATAATTAATCATTATCATGAATATAATGTAGAACATTTATATTTTTTGACAGATCGAAATTCATCGCAAATGTAATTGAATTCATTGGTAATTAACAGAAACTAAATCTTTAATGCAAATTATCTAAACCTACTTCAATTATAAATATGATAATAGTTACCGGATCTTTTGCAGCAGATGACGATTACTCTAAATCCGTCAACCATCTTGAACTGTAACCACAAAAGTAACGTCTATTATGAGAATATTTAAACCCATTTCTCAATTTCGTAACTTTGCTACAAAATAAAATATAAGGTTTTTATATGCTATATTATAGGTGAATTTACACTAGAGATATGATTCGGGCGGCATTTCCGTGCGAAATAAGCTATTTTACTGAGCCTGACAAGTTTTTTTTGCAACCAGATCATTTTAATGTGTGGTAAAATAAATAAAAATTAAAAAAGTACCAAAGTATTATACTGCAATTAAAAACCTGTGAATTTACGATTGGTTGTAATCTTAGGAATATGTATATATGTCGCATCTGAAATAACGATTTATCTAAAGTAGCCACTTTATATATTTAAAGTAGCACCCTTACCTAAAATTAAAATCTAATGCATGCATGAAGATCTAATTTCAGGGGCTTAATTTTAGCCAGGCGCTACTTTAGATAAATCGCTACTTCAGATGCGACATATATAACATTTTTATGCTTATTCCTTAACAAAACCGCAATTAAATGTTCCAAGCGGCAATCTATGCTGCAATACAATAATTCATCAAAGTGGAATATCGGCAACTTTAATTAAAAATAGCTTGTTTCACTCGAATGGGTTGTATCTCTAATTAATAAATAAAACGTACCGATTCTGTGCAAGACAATCCAAAATATAGCAGAGCTCCCAAGATGCAATGGTAAAACTATAAAGTCTTAAATGATTAACAACATTGCCCTCTTCAATTTCCTGTTTAAAACGCAAGTTACTTTGTCGATCGAATTCATATTTATATATATCATTATTTATACGTTGAGGTGAATCAAGGCCTTTGAATTTAGCTCCAAGCTCAAGAGGAACTAATGAATTTTCACCATTTTTCACATACGCTATAAGATAATATTCTTTAGGCTTATCTTGATAATAATGAGAAATAGTAATGTCTTCAGTTTGATCAAATAAGAATGTAAAAGACTTTGTAGAATCACAGTAAGTTGGTGAAAATTCTTCAGACCACTCTGTTTTATTCCATTCATCATAAGTTAACTAATCAAAAGCAATTGTTTATTAAAGTTATTATAAAATATTATCTTAAAAAAACTAATTTACCATAAATTTGAAGCCAGAACTTAATTTAGAAATAACATCTTCGTGCATTATCAAAGGAATAAATGTGTTCCACTTTTTGCAAACTGTTCGCAGTGTGCAAAATTTCTCAAAACTATTATTTATAATGATATTAGAAGTAAATTTTACCGAAATTAATTTTATCTATAGTAACACTATTTTCTTACTTCATTTCAGTAGCAACATATTTCAAGATTTTAACATGTAGCTCGTTCGGAATAATTTGAATCATTTTGAACTTGAAAAATGCGGGTCACATTCATAAAGTTGTTGGTATCACATTTTATTTTGTATTACTGGTCGCAAAGACGATCGATGAGGCAGTTATGGATGTCATTATGTCAAGAAATTCACGGGCTGTAGATCACTTCAGAATCGGCCCCGGAGGCTAATTTCCGACTTATATCTCAGTATTGTTAACTCATATGAGAAATTCGCCTGATTGGCTAGTGTAAATCAATTGTTCGGGTAACTAATTTATTTGGTTTAAAGTACTTTTTGAGAGCGTAACGTTTCACTAACTATAAATCACCGCAAACCTCATCGTTAGCTTTAGAAAGGTGTCAAATTTCGCTGTGCAAAATAATCACAAATAATCCAAAACTGACATACTTTACTTAGAAGACAAAATGACACTTACCGTTCCATACGTAATTACAAAATGCAATACATAAACGTCAAATAAATGGAAAACAGTACAGAACATGTTATTTCCAAGAGCAAAACTAATAATACTTTGTCAAATTATATTCAAATAGGCAATGTTATATCTTGAACTGCTACAACGGAATCATAGTGAATAGCGCAGTTGAATTCAGCAACATGCATTAGAAGGGTATCATAATAGTAGCCAGAAATTTATGTAGAAAATGTTGCAAAAATTTCTAACAATATTTTGTTTTTCAAAAACTGTAGGAATAATTATGGATGTTCTTTATGAGAGAGAGCATCAGAGATTGTTATCAATTTGAATTTTGATGAATTTCACACATCAATCAAAAGATCAACAATTAAATTTTTCTTTGATGAATTATATTTATTGACTAATCCATTTAAAAAAAGTAAAAAAAACAATACAAATATATTAAAACAAGTAGTATTTTTATATTATTTTATTTGTGATATTAGAAATATGTTTGTATAAATATAAAAAGTGATCTAGAAATATATTTAGATTTTACAAAAACACCTAATTTGATGATAAACATCTTAGTGATATTGGAATTGATAACAATATCTTGTTCAATTACTTATTATAAGGAATCTGTATCTAAAATGCATTTAATAACTATAGAAACTAACTTAAAAGATAGTTCTAATAGAGCACTACTTTTAAATATTAATAATTATTATTTTATCTACACTATAGCAATGCTTATTATAACTAAAACATCTACTCTGGTACATCTTATTATAATTTTATTTAATCTGATTAAGACTCAACCTACAATACTAAAACAAGATATTCAAAATCTAGATTAGTTGATACTATATTAGTCAAAAAATAATATTAAAAATTATTTTATTTCATTGTATTTATTTTTTTATAATTGATATTAGAGGCTGCATTTTATAAATAACAAAACCAAACTTGAAAATTAATATTTTATATTTATAACATTGCTTAAAAGAAAAGCAAACTGCAAGATTATTAAATAATGACATCTTTGTAAATCTGTTAGATGTAAACTTTATTCAATAAAAGATTATCTTTAAATTATTAATAGAACAATGACTGTTATTACAATAAATAAATTTATTAAAAATAACAATATTATTCCTATTATAACTAATTAGTTTAGTTAAATAAATTTAAGAATAATTATATTACAGTATCTTATTTATAGTAACTTTGCTAAAATTACTAATAAAATTATATTATTTTTTCCAATAATAAATTCTTTTCATATTTAATTAAATAACTATAAACTAGTATTTCTTTAATATCAATTATTTTTTTTAAGATATACAAATATATATTTAATTAAAAAAAATTCTTCTCAAAAACCAAAACTATAATATATCAATTTATTATTAGAGCTTTCATATATTGTATAATAACAAATTACAAAAAATTAAAATAAAATTGAGATAATATAAAGATGCAAAATAATTGATACTTAAAAATATTTTGAATAATAGAATTTCATTAGTTCTTGATATTTTTATTATTTTTTAAGACAAAAGATTATAATTCTTATATTAAGTTTTGCTTTTATATTTAGAAACTTTTTTTGAAATTTGAATATAAAAACTATATTAAAGCATTATTAATATTTTTTTTGATTTTTTTATTAGTAATCTTAAAAAGTATTTAATTTTAGAGATTATAAAGACTGAATTACTAAAATTTCTAATATGTCAGTAAAAATTTTTTATAGTCTTTTATTACACAATACAAATAAGTATTTTAGAACAGAACAAATAGTAAATAAAACTTGATTTATTAATTATTTTGATTTAATAATAATGGTTTTAAAAAAAATTTGTTTAAAATTTAACTTAACTGGATTATTAATATTTATTCTGAAATATTAAAACTTTAATTCAGAAATTGCTTACTTTTTTTAACTGTTTTCCTGATATTATAATTCATATTAAATAAAAAACCTTTATTTTAATTCTATTACAGATAGTTACAATAGATTTATTAAAAAAAAAACAAAAAAAACATCAATATAAAAAGTTTTTTTTTTTAGTAAAAAAGATAATAAAGTTATGACTTTGTTATTTATTTTTAAAATATAATTGTTTATTTCAATTTACTTTATTAAATTATAATTTTTATAATTATATTACTAATGCTATTTTTAACAAAAATACAAAACAAGTCTGAGCTCTTATTATTGCATGTAATTTTTATTTTGTTACAAACAATCTTAGTTTATTTTAATACTTCTGTACTCAAATATACAGTTAAAATTATTAATAAAGATATGAGCAAGGCCTCATCTTAATACTAAAAAAAAAAAAAATACAAAACAAATACTAATTATAAAGAGACAAGACAAATATTATCATATAGTTATATTTATTATAATATATATTTTGATTAAAACAGAACAAAATATTTGTTATTATTTAGATTTAATTAAAGATTTTATTGATAAATATGCAAAATTATTTTTAAATATCTAGTAAACTTGATTCAAGTATTATATCAAAAATAAAAATAATTTTATTTCTAAAAATAATAGTAAAAAATAATAATACTAAGAAATTCATTAATAATATTTTAGTTTTCAAGAATGATACTATTTAATAATTTCTTCTATTATACTTTTTTTAAATTGCAAATGTAATTATAGCTTTTTTATTTATATATTTATATTTACAAACATTATTAATTTATTTATATATATAGGTTATATTATCACTTTTGATATATCATATTTTTTAAAATAAATTAAAAAGTTTATTAATAATATTAAATTTAATAACTGTTATTTTAAATTATACTTTTAGAATTATATATATTATAAGATTAAGGTTTAAAAATAAATTTATTATATTTTAATTAAATATTTTTTCTTATCAATTTACAAATTTATAAAAAATAT